TCTCTCTGGCCTTAACAGACTTCTTATTTATTCATTAGTCATATTTCAATTCACAAAAGATGACATTTATTATTATAAGTAACTGATAGTTGTTTACTTCTCAATTTGTATAGATATTTATTTCTCTAAAATGGGAGAATGATTTAGTAGCCATGAGCCTAGAATCTGTACAAAAGTAGACTTCAATTTGTGGTACATAGACGGGAAACTAGAATGAGGAAGGATTTTTTTTTTTTTTTTTTTTTTTTTTTTTACTCTGGGGTACCAAGATCCCAGAGTAGGATCAAAGAGGTAAAGCAGAGTGTTATCTGTATCAGGATTTAATAAAATTAATAATTTTGTTTTATCAAGAATATGCCTGTATGAAACTTTCTGTGAGGGTATGGTAATAAAGAATATAATGACTACTAGTATAGTTTAGTGCTCTGCCTTCCTCCATGCTAAGGTTCCAACTCTTTTTTTTTTTTACCCTCTGTTTTAGCATAAATACCAACAAAATGAAAAAGATAAAGTTCTTGCTATTATGAAAAACACTTTGACCTCCTGGATCTCTGAAAGGATCTTAAGAATCCCTGGGGGGTCCAGAGAGACCTCTGGAGTTGACTTAGAGGGTATACTCCAGCCAGACTGCTCCTGTTAAATCCCAGCTCTATCATTTACTACCTGTATGACCTTGAACTGTTTCCTCAACTACTCGGCCTCAGTTTTCTTGTTTTTGAAATAAAGATGGTGATAATATTAACATCATAGGATTATTATGAAGAAACTGATATTTATAAAGTGCTTTTAGAATAGGGCTTGGTACACAAGGCACTATGTAAATATTGTGTTTTATTGTTACGTGTTGCGGATTGAACCGAGCCTCCTGTATCCTAGGCAAGCACTTTGCCACTGAGCCACATTCCCAGCCCTGTAAATAAGTTAAGCCAATTATTTTTTTTTAATCTTTTTTTTTTAAGAGAGAGTGAGAGAGGAGAGAGAGAGAGAGAGAGAGAGAATTTTTAATATTTATTTTTTTAGTTCTCGGCGGGCACAACATCTTTGTTGGTATGTGGTGCTGAGGATCGAACCCGGGTCGCACGCATGCCAGGCAAGCGCGCTACCGCTTGAGCCACATCCCCAGCCCCAGGTCAATTATTTCTGTTGAAAGTTCTTACTGAATTTCAAGGGAGCAAGAAGAGATTTAAATTTGGAGAATGACAGTATTAAACTAAAAAATCTTGAGAGAGAATCATTTACAAATGTTGGAAACCAAGTAGGAGATTTGCCTTAAAGGGTAGAAGAGAGATTCCTTAGAATGGTTAGGTCAAGAAGGTGAAGCATTGTTGAACAGCTGCATGAAAGCCATGGTTATGTGGCTTACAAGCTTTAAGGTCAAAGAAGAAGAAATTAAAGAGAAGATTATGTGTATAGATCTTATGTATTACAGATCTTATTTTATGTTGAGTTGAGTTCTGTTTGGTGTTTTTGAGAAGAAATTTTAATGAATGTCCATGGATATGGAAGCCAGTGGGGAATTTTGAATGGGTTTCCGTCCTTTTTTTGCAAAAGATATTCAGTAGCCTTGTGTAGGTAAAAACTATGTCTTATTCTTCAAGGTAAGCAATACAGAACCAAGGGCAGTTTTGAGAACATAAAATTGACTTACAACTTAAATTTCACTCATTAAATTACTCTTTGAGGGCTGGGGACATAGTTCAGTTGGTAGAGTGCTTACCTCAAATGCACAAGGCCCTGGGTTTAATCCCCAGCACCACAAAAAAAAAAAAAAAAAAAAATACTGTTTGGTATGTGCTAAATTAGGCAGATTGCTAAATGAACCCATTTCTAAATGAATTCAATTGGAAAAAATTAGAGCATGAGCCTAGGCATCTTTGTCCAGTGTACAAACTGTGTAACCATATGTTATTCCAACAGATCCTGCTAGCAGGGTCTACTCTCTTAATAACAAATTCAGTTTCTTTAATTTTATTTTTGTGGTACTGGGGATCAAACTCAGAGGCACTTTACCAATGAGCTATATCCCTAGCCCTTTTCATTTTTTTTGTTTTGAGACAGGGTCACACTTAAGTTGCCAAGGATGGCCTCAAACTTGTGATCCTCCTGCCTCAGCCTCCCAAGTAGCCAGGATTAAAGGTAAATGCACTACCATGTCCAGCCAAATTCCATTTCTTTAAAATGATTCTTTTTAGTTTCTTGCCTGTTAGCGGCAGTGTGCTGGCAAGGTGACAGAGCAGTTTCAGTCATGCATTCAACAAATATTAAGTGCCTGACATTTGCCAAGCCTTATTTTAAGCACCAGTGAACAAAATTGTCAAAAACTCCTTTCATTATGAAGGTAATGTTTTAGAGGGAAGACAGAATAAGTTTAATAGTAAATTAAGATAAAGGCATTAAAGAATAGTAATACTGAGAAGGTTTATAAAGTACACCTTCTTTATAAACAGTGGGGGTAATTTTAAGTAGGGTATTGAGAGAAGGTCTACCTGAAAAGGTGATGAGCAAAGACTTAAGGGGAATGGAGAGAGTTTAGTCATAAAAATTTTGGAGAATAGAAGGAATCAAGTACAAATGTCTTGAGATAGGAACATGCTTGGCATGTGTTTAATAGAGACAACTAGAAGGGGGAGGGGTGCTGCAGATTGTGAGGATCCCTTTAGTCATGGTTAAGAGTTGTTTTTACCCTATGTGAGTTAGGAAAACATTGGAGGATTTTGAATAAGCAACCAGTGTGATTTGGTTTATATTTTACTCCAAATCACTGGCTGCTCCATTGAAAATAGACTATTGGAAGGCAAGCACAGAAACAGACATATACCAGTAACTATATTAGTCATCACTTGCTGCATAACAGATTAGTACCTGGAAGCAACTAAGTTTAAAACAACAAACATTTTGTTAAATGTTTTTAAAGATGCTTAATCTCTTCCTTTCCTCTTCCTTTATCTTTCTTCCTTCCTCTTCTTTTCCCTGATTAAATTCAGTAGAAATCTAAATTAACATATGAAGTTGTTTTTTAAGTAAAATTTAGTAAACTAGTGGGGTGTGGTGGTACCTGCCTATGATCCCAGTGATTCCAGACATTCAGAAGACGGAGGCAAAAGGATCGCAGAGTTTGAGTCTGGGCAACTTAACAAGACACTTTTCTCAAAATAAAAAGGGCTGGGAATGTGGCTCTATGGTAGAGCACCACTGGATTGAATCCCTGTTACAGCCTGCCCGTCCTCCCCACCCCCCTTGCTCCCAAGATGAACTTAATCTAAAATTTGTGTGGAAGTACAAAGAGCCAAGAATAAGAATAACCAATGAAATCATGAGTAAGAACAATACCAGATATCTGAATCTTGTACTAGATATCCTTAGCAGACAGTTTGATTTTTAGTAATTAATTCTAATATTCCTAAGGATATTTTTAAAACTCTAATAATTTAAAACAGGATAGACAAATTGATCAGTTAAACAAAACTGAGAACCAAGGAAAAGAGCCATTCATGTGTGATACCTGGGGATGGAAAAAGATGAGAATGAGTTGTAATAGGAAAAGTAAATATTTTTTGGTCAATTACATATCCTATGGGGAAAACAGTGAATCTTAAACACCTGTTTCGTTTCATACCAAAAACAAAAACCTGATAGATTATGTATCTAACTATGAAAGATAAAATTAAAAAATTGAGAAGAAAATATAGAATGTCTTTATGACCTTGAAGTAGGCAAACGTTTATTTAAAATAACATCTAAAAGCACCATTAAAAAAAAAAAAGAACATTTGTTAACAAAATCTAAATTAGTTTACTTTAACCTAAGACACCAGAAGTGGAAGACATGAGGAGCAAAAGGGAAACAATACAACAAAAAACTTTGCATAAATTTTTTTTTTTTTTTTTTTTTTTTTGGTGCTGGGGATAGAACCCACGGCCTCATGCATTCCAGGCAAGTATTCTACCACTGGGCCACATCCCTAGCCCAGAAAACTTCAGGCACTTAACAAAAGAGGATACAGGTAACTCCAAAATGGCTCATAAACATATACAAATGTGCTTAGTTGTATTAGACTTAATGGCAGGGAATATCAGTAAGACTACATTGATATATCACTGTTTAGCCACAAGAATATTTAAAATGAAAAGGCAGATATGTTCATTTCTTAGGGCTCTTGTAACATTAATATAAACTGGATGGCTAATTCAAAGAAATATCTCTCTTGATTCTGGAGCCTGGAAGTCAGTATCAAGTGTTACTATGTGTCTATCTTAAACCACTCCCTCTTCTTTGGTCTTTATTCAAAGGATACATGTAATTCCACTTAGAGCTCACCTGGATAATACAGATAAATCCTCTTCTCCAAATTCTAAATGGCATCTTTTGCTTTATGAAGAAGTACTTACAGGTTCCAGGAGTTAGGACATGGACATGTCTTTAAGGCCACCATTCAGCCCAAAATAGCAGATAATGCTAAATATTGGTGAGATGTGGAAGAACCTGAATGCTTATACGTTGCTAGGAGAGTACAAATTTGTGTAACCACTTTGGAATGAATTAATAATATCCATATAGTGTATGACCCAGTGTTTTTACTGCTAGATGTGTACCGAACCAAATTGTGTATTTTTTCAGCCAGAAGATACATAAAATAACATTCACAATTGAAATATGAACTAGAAATTTCCAGAATTCCCATTAGCACTAGAATAGATTGTGGTTTCTTTGTACAGTAGAATGTGCTGTATAACAATAAGAATGAATAAATTACTATTAGAAAAAACAGAATGGTTGAATCTCATGAATAATTTGAGAGAAATCAGACACAAAATGTGTATATATGGTATCTGCCAATAGGAAAGTGAAATTGGTACTTACTGGAATTAACTTTAGGGTTTCTTATTATGTGACCTAATATGTTGGAAATGATGCATTAATTATCTGCTAGGAAAGAATATGTAGTATCCCCATAGATATTGTCCTCATGTTAGCCAGACTCGCGCCTTTTTGTCTTTCAGCCCAAGCAACAGCAGGAAAGAAAATCTTGACATAGGGAACTGGGGACTGCTATACAGAGAGAACTACAAAGCATCCTCAGTACAGTAAGAATCCTAATCCAAAGTCCCTATTCTTGTAACAGAGTGAGTAGCATTTCTCCCAAGTGTTTTATATCAAGATGTATTTTGTTATCTATTTACTTTATGAACTTTCCTAGATTTTTTGTTATCTCTGAAAACAAACTATTATATGGGCAATATGTGTATGTTCTTGGCGCCCCCTTAACCCCAAACATAAAAATTATAGAAGGATGTGCCATAAATTGCTCCCTTTGGGATCTCCATTTGCTACAATTACAGAGAATTATCCAATTTAAGTGGTTAATTTTCTGTGATTAAATAAATGCAGAGGGTAGGAGAGGCTTTTCTTACCTCTTCCAGTAGTGATTCAGAGTTTATTTTTCAATAACAATTTTTAAAAAATTTATTATGTGCTGACCAACAAAACATGACTGAGCTAGATTTAATCCAAGTTGGCCAGTTCACAGTTTCTCTGGACTAATTCATCATTGTAAATTATGTTTATTGTAAATTATGTTTCCTGCAGGAGGAGAAAGCAATGAAATGAAAAAAATATGCATGTCAGGGCTGGGGTTGTGGCTCAGCAATAGAGCACTTGCCTAGCACGTGCAAGGCCCTGGGTTTGATCCTTAGCACCACATAATAATAAATAAAACAAAGGTATTTCGTCCAACTACAACTGAAAAATAATTTTTAAAAAATGCATGCATTTTATAATTGCCTTAGGCTATTAGTCATTCTTACTGAATAGCTGTTTCAGTATAGATGTTACAAGTACTGCAGAGTAAAAACGGTTTTTCATGATATTTTCCTCTCCTTTTCAATGGAAACTAATCATTTTTTGCTTAACATGAAAACTTTTAACAATAATGAAGTATGATTAGTAAAATATTTTGTAGGATTCATGTTAGGCATAAATGGGATTTGAAGAATAGACCTAACAGTTTAGCTGGGAAATGAGTTGTATACTTAGTAAATTATACTGAGTACCCCAAGCGGTGGTTCAGGCGAGTTCTTTAGGAAGATAGAGCTGATTTCCTGAAATAGGATTGTTATAGGCAGAGAGCAAAATGGACAGCATTTACTAAGAAAGGAGCCATATGAGTTAAAAACTTGTTTCTTTTTGGGGGCCTGGGGTATGGGTACTGGGGATTGAACTCAGGGGCACTTGACCATTGAGCCACATCCCCAGCCCTATTTTGTATTTTATTTAGAGACAGGGTCTCACTGAATTGCTTAGCGCCTCGCTGTTGCTGAGGCTGGCTTTGAACTCGCAATCAATCCTCCTGCCTCAGCCTCACGAGCAGTTTCGTGCACCACTGCACCCGGGTAAAAACTTGTTTCTAGGAATGAGCATGAGTTGGTGGGAACCAAACATCCTCTATTTTCAGGCAGAGCAGAATAAGAGATATTATTCTACTTCTTCTATGTGCTAGGCACTACATTGGTGCTTTCTGTATGCATTCTTTAATCTGGTTACATAAATAATTTAAGTGCCTTCTTGGGGATTTGAGGCTAGAGAATTTTAGTAACCTGTCCAAGGTAATAAAACAGCAAAGCTGGAATTCAGACTATTGCCAGCATGACTCACAGGCCATTCCCTTTTCACACAGTGTACTTTCCAGGGAAATTTGGCTGGTTGGAGTAAATTATGGAGAGCATGTTTGATATATTGACTACTCCTCCTGGGGGCAATTATTATAAAATAACAGAAGTAGTATGATGAGAACTGGCCATTCCAGGAGAAGGTTAAATAAGTGGATTGGGAGAAAGGATAGTAAAACAAAGGGAAAAAATAAGTAAAATAACACAGGAGTTATACATACAGCCTCTGGGTTCCATCTTCAGCACAAAACAAGCAAACAAAAAACAACAACAAACAAAAATCTTGTAGGTGTAAAGTAAGAAGACTTAAAAGTTGGAATGGGAAAGAGCATAAAAATTACTAGAACTTGATGACTGACACTAGGAAATGGAGCAAAGGGAAATAAATTTAATTGACATGTTGCCATTATAATTGAGGTTATTTATTTGTATTCATTCATTGCTATTCTTTTATCAGAATTTTAAGTTGGTAATAAATTTTCTTAGCAGTCTTAAAATATTTAATTTTGAATTTTTCATACTCATAAGAACTTCTTTGGTAAAAAGATGTAAAGCAAAAACAAATTTTCTTGAGTGGTTACAGCCACTCAAGTGTGGGTGGTGTACACTTCTAACCCAGTGATTCAAGGATCATAAATTCAAGGCCAGCCCAGGCAACTTAGGGAGAACCCATCTCAAAAAAATAAAAAAGGCTGGGGGTGTTGCTCAGAGATAGAGTGCCCCTGGATTCAATCCCCAATACTGGGTTGGTGAAGGGGAGTGGTTATAGCTAATAAAAGCTGTATAATGTCTTAAGGCTAAATAAATAAATTTTAAATAATAAGACTTCATGAATGCTCGAAGAATTGTAGATTTTTTAGAGATATGGACAGTCATTTTCTCATTTTTAAGTTCAGTAAAAAGATATAGATGTAGCTACATGCTAGATGTGTGATTTGGGGAAAATTAAGACTTTTTGAGTATCATTTTTCTCATTTTAAAATGGTGCTCAGGCCTGTAATTCCAGCTACTGAGTAGGCTGAGACTGGAGGAGCAGAAACTTAAGGACAGCCTGGGCAATTTGGAAGAGATCCTTACTCAAAAAATAACACTAAAAGGTCTGGAGGATGTCACTAGGTGGTAGAAGGTTCCTTTGTTCAATTCTCAGTACTTACTGGAGGGAAGGAGAAGAAGGAAAGGATATCAATAGCACCAACATGGAGTGTTCTTGAGAGGATTAAATGATAGATAAGTTAAAATAAAAACAGTTCCTGCCCCATAGTAAACTCTGAATAACTACTTTGGGTGTTTCTAGGTTGTTAGAGGGAGTAATGAGTTATGAATTTATGTAATAAAGTATCTGAACTCATTTTATGAATTCACTTCCATTCACAGAATTTTTAAAAATTATGCTATGCTGATCCATTTTCTTCTAGTAGAGCATTTGCACTTTGTTTCCTTAGATTTGCAGCTTTAGAATCCCACTCTAGCAGTTATAGAATTGTTCTGCCTTCTCCTTTTTCTCTCTGATCATTTGAATGCCAACTGGTGTGTTCTGCAAGTTGTTTACTTATCAAAAAGTTACACCACCAAGGGCTGTCAGGATTTCCATTTTCTCCATAGCTATTCTATCCATAGCGTTATATGTTCAGATAAACTAAGTCACCCTTTTATGGCTTTGGATCTTTCAGAATCTTCTTAAAAGGTACTGGTTTTTTGTCCTAAATGATGAATAAACAGGTTAGTTTTGAGTTTTTATTTCGTTTTTTTTTTTTTTTTCATGAAACCCTTTGTGCCTTTGAGTTATAATCATTGTTAATTTGTTGCTATGCAGGGCATTTTGGCTTGGGAAAAATTGCTAGAGTTACATGGTTTTGAATTTCATTTTTACAAAGCAAGTATTATGGTAGAAAAGCTTTTTGATGGTCTTATTTTACTTTTAAAAAAAAATATTTATTTTTTAGTTGTAGTTGGACACAATACCTTTATTTTATTTATTTATTTTTATGTAGTGTTGAGGATCAAACCAGGGCCTGGTACATGCTAGACGAGTACTCTACTGCTGAGCCACAATCCCAGCCCTATCTTATTGTACTTTTTATCTAATGTTTACTTGTGGTTTATATAGAAGTAGAGTATTTATCTATTACCCATCCCTTCAAGGAGCCCTTTTAGACTTTTTTTTTCCCTTAAAAACTTGCTCCTACACCTCCATAAAATTTTCAATCCAAAGATAATACTGTGTATCTATTTATATATAGTGTATATGTCTATGTTTTATATATAAAGAGGAAGGGATATTTTTTGGTGTGCCTCCTTTCCTCAAAAAATTAGTGTTTGCCTCTTGGAAGTGCTACTGCCTATATTGAAAATGCACATTTTGTTGCAGCAATTAATTCTCAAAATTTTTGGTTTCAGGACCTTTCGTTCTCTAAAATTAGTGAATAATACCCTAAAGAGATTGTTTATGAGGAGTGTATCTAGTGTTATCCATCAGATTACAAATTAAATGGAGAAAAATTTTAAATACTTCTTTACTTTTTAAAAATTAATGGAAAATGTCCCCATCCCCAAAATACACACACTTTTTAGTGATAAGAATAGCATTACTAACACATTTTAGCAACTCTCTTTAAGGTCTGGCTTAATAGCTAGATTCTCATAGTTACCTTTGATTCAGTCTGGTACAGTATTATAAAGCAAATCTGTTCTCATATGTAGTTGGAAAAGGAAAAAGGTTCTCATATAATAGAGGTAGTTGTTTGATACTACACTAAAACTTGACAGCTGCTAGTTTTGTAAAGAATAGTTGCATTGTGGAATCTGAAACCACATAAAACCTTTTTGACCTATCCTTGACATCTTTAACTTCAAATGGATTTTGTACCATCACACATTGGATACTTTGAAAATACTACTTTACTGACTTATGCAGATCTTGCATATATTGATTTAATATTGATTAATTGCATTTCATTAATATCACCACCAATATCACCAGAAACATTCAAAATGTTAAAGACTTGTCAAGCCTTTTTTCATTTGAATGCTTGAATACTGTCCTTGAAAGTGAATATTATCAGTTTTGACAGGTGCACTTCATTCGTTTTCAAGAATATTTCCATATACTGCAGTCCAAATAACTAGTTTAACATTATTTCCATGTGAAAAGGTAATTCAGCCAGTTCACAATAAAGAGTTGTACAAGTGTTTTTTTCTTCAGTCATATTTCTCTGTTCAGCAGTAGTGGTTCATGCGTGCATCCCAGTTAGCTACACAAAATATTAATAAGACTCGTGTGTTCAAGACAAGATTTAAAGAAATTATTATATGTATTTTTGTATCAGTACTGAGGATTGAACTCAGGGGCACTGTGCCACAGAGCTACATCCCTGTCTTTTTATTTTTTTATTTTTTGAGACAGGATTTTGCTAAATTGCTGAGGTTGGCGTCAAACTTGGAATAATCCTGCTTCATCCTTCCAAGTAATTGGGATTACAGGCAATCACCACTGTCCCTGTCTAAAATTAATACTTTTTACTGTTGACTGTAGTGGTGAAGAAGACTACTGGTACAGTTTGATGCCACTGACTTGTTTGGGCTCCTTGATAAGGAAGGCTCCAGCTGTTTTATCCACCTTGCTTTTATACCACTAGTGCACATGTCAGTATGGTGAGAAAGACAACTTGTTATTCTGAAAAGTTTTGACCTTTGTAATCGGTTGTTAACCACACTTTGAATGTGGACTTTGGTGTATCCAGATTACCTGGATTGAAACCCAGCTCCATCACTTATTATTTGCTTCATAATGACCCAGTTATCCTGATAACACAACTAGGTAAACATTATAAAAAAGAAAGCTATAGGGTCTATGGTTGTGGCTCAGTGAGGCACTGTACTCAATCCTCAACACCACATTAAAAAAATGCATAAATAGGGGCTGGGGATGTGGGGTTGTGGCTCATGTGAGGCACTGTACT